TGATGCTGATGGTGTGCAAAATTAAAAGCAATTGGGAATAAGCAGGTATACTGGAGATGTGAGAAGCCTTGGTACTAGTAACTTTGAGCTGCTGTTCCAATTACCTCAAATCAACCAGAGCAGTGAATCTTAACCCTGACTAGCCGAACAGGGAAAAGGGATCCTTGTTCCCTTATACTTTTGTTTTGAGTTGCTTTTCACACTTCTCCATTTCTCTGTCTTTCCTGCATTTGTATAAATCACACACTTTTGCATGTGCAATGGAAACCAAATTAACAAGGCTTACTCTATCTCATTACTTACAGTAGTTTTTACATTTTCTGATCAAATTCACACTTGACAAATAATTTACACCGCAGACTTTGATCTGGAGTTTCGAATAGTGTCAAACTCACTTGCCTCAGGCTGCATTTTGTCATTAATCCTATCAGAAATGCTCAAGGCTTAGCTCGATGTTCTGGAGCACAGTGTAGCAAATCCTAAGGTAACATTATGAATTGGGAGATGTATTTCCTTTATTAAATACTATAGGATGGTTCGATGAACATTAGAATGATAGTCTTCATTGTTTTTTAAGTTTGGCATAGAATAAAGCCTGGGAAAGGTTAGAAATTCTTGCAGAAATCTTTTTAATAGTTTGCTTAAAGAATTGTGGGATATCTAAAACCAGCCTCTGAAGGATAATTCACCATGAAGGAAATAAGGTCTTTAAAAACTGGTAAAAGGAAATGTAGAAGAACATATCACTCCCAAGAAAGGAACTAAGATCTGCAGGGAGAGCCATGAAATAAGAAAGACACAAGATGGTTCCTTCTTCTGGGCAGTCCATCAGTAAGAACTTTTCAGAAACAATAAAGTAACATTGAGTTTTTTTAAAAAACAAACCACATAATTGTACAGTATTATCTGCTCATGTAGTCTTTCAAAATTAACTTTCTTCTCGAAATGCTTGTGGTTCCTAGGGGAGTGAGTTTTTCCTTATTTACATTTATTTTATCTTATTACAGACATGAACTTACAGTTGTGTACCTACAATTCAGAATCAGATATGGTATAGTCTCAGTATGCAAGTTTATTTCTAACTGCCACATGAAGAAAATAAAAAATTATTTTTAGAAAGAATGGCTTTATTTTTCCTTTTTACAGAGGTGTAATCACATTATTTTCACAAGTGACTTCTGATTTAGTAAATTCCAGTGGTAGCTATGAGATCGAAATTAGGCTTATAAAACTTAAAGGAATTGAAAAGTTGATTGAAAAATTATCTAAATGTAGAACATTATATTGATATTTCATTGGTAAGAGGTTTATAATAATAATGTGTAGTAGTGTTGGTAAGTTACAGTGAGATAAAACTGGTGTCATGGTTTAGAGAATCAAGAAACATGAATTAGCTACTAATTTCAAGTGTATAGGCTAGATCCATAGTAGCCTGCCAAATGCCTCTCGAGTTACTTTCTATCACCTGTAACAGAAAGATGAACACAAAGAAGCGTCCTGATTTTCCACTCCTGTATGCTGATACTAGCTTAGTGCAAATCCAGGACACGTTGCACATCTTAGGATATATCTACAGAACTGATCATTGTACAGTAAATAGCTAGGTATCTTAGCTTTAAATGGAGCTAGTAGAAAATGCTTGCAAATGTATTACAGTTAGGGGATTATCAACAGATCGCCTTTCCCTCATTTTTTTAAAAAGTCTATTTTATGATTTAACTGAAAGCTGAAAGTTCAAAACATTGCTCTGAAAGATGGTTGGATTCATAAGATCAAGCTTAAATAGACTGAGTGTCCACATTCATATATTCATGGGAGCACCAAGATGCTCCTCTGGCTCTGGTACTGCAGAGCACATTTTTGACTTATTTGTATATGAACATGATTTTCCAGACATTGTGAAAAGTGATTTTCTTTGAAAACAAAAGGAGCTTATGTTCGCAAGGGAAAATATTTTAAAAACTTGATTAGAAGTAAAGGCTTCAAAGCTCCTAGCAATTACACGCAAAATATTCAACAATGAGAAGTCTAAATCTAAGCAGAAAATTTTGCTTGTATACGCAAATCATGTGTGATAGGAGTCTTTGTATATGCGCTGTGGGAATGCTGCCAATGTGTTATGAGGTATTTATATCTTTCTGCTTTGCACTATCTAGGCTCAACTCAGGATTGCTTGTGGTTACTGAACTTTTTGTTTCTTAACCAGAATGGCATTAAAATTTTCCTACCCTCTGCAAAAAATTGTATGAACAAAGTTCTTCTGAACAATTCTGAACACTACTGCTTGTACCTTCAGTCTAGAGTTATGAAACAAATTAAGACTCAGCAGCTGTACCCTGCCTATTCATCTCATTTGGTGTATACGGGCCCCTTTTTAAGTATTCAGAAATCCAGGCGTGTCTGAAATGTTTATTTATTCCCTCATAGCAGCATACAGCACTCTGAAACCAGGAGCTTGGGCCTTGCCATTATGCTGGATGCTCTTGGTGAGGTGGAGGGACTACAAAACAGGTCAAATTATCTATCTATCTGATTTATTTTATTTTGAATGGCTAAAACAGTCAGAGGTTCAGAAATTGTTACTGAAGCCCAAAACCACACCCAAACCCAGAATGGTTGTGTCAGTAGGTAATACATCTCAGAGCAAATAAAATATTTCCATGTAATAATATACTTGTTTAGCAGACTGCAAGACCGTATTCGATTCTTACACAGAAGAGACAGATTGACTAGCATTTTCCCCGGATGTCTGTTAAGTGAGATACGCCTATACCTTTCTCTGAAAAAAACAGAGAACAACTACTTAGGGAAAGTTTGACAGAAACAGAGAAAACATCCCCTCTTCACCTGGACGATATATTCAAAACTGGATACACTTTCTAGGGACCCAAATACAGCCTGATACATGGAACTACAGAGAAAACATACTGGTTACTTTTATTTTTCTCAATGTGATTTATAGGGATGACATACGCTGTCCCCAAGAGAATCAATTCTCTGTAAGAAAGCCCAGACAGCAAATATAGAAAAAACATTTCAGAGTTACTTCCACACATTTAATTCCATTCACAGAAATGCAGCCCTAGAAGGAAATCTAAAATGCAAATGTAAAAGATGGCTGTCTAAAAACCATGAAGAATGAAAAAGAAGGAAAAAAAATCAGAACTCTAACGTTTTGAACACAAAATAAAATCTAGTCTACCTTCTCAGGGTTGTGTATGCTATAAATTCAACATGTACCAGAAACAAATGCTAGAAGGAAGAGATGAAAGAAGAAATTAAGAGGAAAGATCCAAATAATAGACTATTTTAGTTCTGTCATTTCCTAGCCTTTCCATGCTTGATTTTACAACCTAGAAAATCTTTTTTTGTTTAAGTAGCTTTGTGTATAATTTATGAAAGCAGAAATTCCATTATGCAGCATCCTGCAACATTCTCCAGCCAATCAGTGAGAAAGACACCTTGAGATCTACCACACAGATCTTGGCTGCCTAAGCTAATGCAGTAATTAATAGCAGCAATATGTATCAGCTCTGTGGGCAGACATGCAGTAACAAGTCACAAATATTTGCTAACAGCAGGGGATTGGTAAGGTTTGGGAATCTTGGTTCTGGGTGGATGTCCTTAAATCAGGACTCCTTTGGCTTCCCTCTGGCCAGCTGCCATTCCTATCCATGGTGTTAGAATGTATTCTGACCTTCCCTGGTTACCAGACTGCTCACCACCTCCTGACATCCTCATTTAGCACCAACCACTCATCACCTTGAGAAATCAGAAGCAGACTGGTTAAAGAACATTCAGGGAGAATCTGCCATTGACTGTAGACCAGGACTTGAGTGCTCACTTCTCTAAAGAAGAAGTTTGAGCACTGACTTGTTAGCAGTGGCAGATGCGAGGGGATGGAAAAGGCTCAGTGAAGACAGAGTCTGGCTATTTTAGCTGCTTAGTAGAACCACATCACTTCTCAGTATGCACATATTGACAGATTTCAATCCCCCAGCTCATAACTCAGCTCATTTAGATGCATTATCTAAGAACATCACAAAACACAACAACCCTTGACAAACAAATTTCCCTGACAAATTTCAAATCTCTTTTTTAAATTTAAAAGAACACTGAAGCATTTCAAAGAAAACCCCAAGAATTTCTTTGATATGAGGAAATGAAACAGTTTTCCATGAAACATGAACTAGCTTCCCAGTATTTTTTACATAAAAGAATGAAAAGAATAGGTTTTGCCAAACCATCCTCAGCATTCCGTTTCAAGGATGAAATTGGTGGGGTAGGTAGTTGTGGCTCATTCATTAGTCACATGGTCTCATTCCCTCAAGATCACACACCCAACAAAAGCAGCTGTGTCCCGATCCCCCTCATCTTATGCCCCCCCATTCACCAGAAGAGCGTGTTGGGCTGGCAGCAGCAG